TTTTCTCCCAATTCGTTAGAACCGAAAGAAGACAAATACTACGAGATGCTAACATTTCTTTTAACCTCTTCAGTCGCTACAACGTAAAACAATCTGGTATTTATACAAGCAAGTTTTGATAACTACAGTGGTAAAACGGACAATAGTCAGGGAAGCGGGGGAGAGGGTGGGGTGGGAAATCAGGTCCATGAAAGTGTAACTGATTGAGTAAGAAACTTTTGTGCACACAATATTGGGTTATGGAACTTGATGAGCATCGCCTCGCTAAACGCCAAAATCCTGGGGTTTAAGTTACGTAATAATGGCTTGAACGACATTTGTGGGTCAACGACGTGTCCAGTTGCCATGAGATGTTTTGCGATTGATGACCCTGGATTTTCCTTTTCGGTTTGACCTCTAAGAGTTTTTTGCGTCATCGATTGTACCAACCACTTTGGAATGTGTTCAGACATTCACTGTGCCAGGGGCCGATTAGTTTCCGATTTAAGTATCACCACAACTGCAGGTGAACTGGTAGACGATATGTGAAGCAGAATTGTTCGGCTGGTTTTCTTTCCGATTGTCAAAACGAAGTCTTTGGGTACACGGTATCGATCGAAGTTGTGCGGCAGGAAACTTTCGACACAGTGCCGTCTTGAGCTTTTGACGCACGTCGTTCATTACATGATCACCTTTAAAGGCGAGTCTGAGGAAGACGTTCTTCTTAGGTACTTCGCAGACTAGATCAACCGATGTCTTTCGTCGATAAATTTCTCTAGATAACCGTTATCCAGAAGCCTCCTTCGCGGATAGGCCTCTTCATCTTGGACAGTGTCAGTGGAGCATATAATCCTGGCACGATGGAACGGAGTCTTCACCAGACCTCCTTTGTGAGCCACAGAAGCGAAACTGGCAAATTGTAAGTATTACCCACTCCATGTAGTCTTCCAGTAGACGGATCTTTGTAAGGTTCCATTTTATCGTCTCCTGAATTTTATATCTAAAATATTCAAACAACCGTCATTTTCCTCCTCCTCGAAAACAGAGAGGTTGGGATTAATAGTATTAAAAAGTGTTAAAATGGTGTTAGTTATTTTGAACAATATCACCGTTGTGTAGATGATGTCTTTTGTGTAGCTAACAAGAGCATTAATTTT